GATTTGGGCTCCGGTAGCCTCACTCACTCAGTGAAAGGCAACGAAAGAATTGCTTAACACCGGTTTTCTGTGAGGCTGTGTTATCACTCCGGTCGAGCCGGCCCATTCGTGCCGAAGCATGGCTCTCCCACGGTGATTAACTATAAATTGTTTATTGTGTATTAATAATATATCGTGCAAAAGGATACGTAAAGAATCTGACTACAATGGTAGAACCTGTGTGCACCTGTATGAACCTATAGCATAAATGATGACACGACCAGTGATACTACACGTGTTGTATTTCATGGAGTGAGTGAAGTAAACAGGAACAACTCCCGTGTCCACCACTACTTTAGGCGGAGGGGGTGAGGTGACTCTTGAGTTGCAGATGTACAAGGGAGACGGTACTCACTTACCTTAAAAAATATAATAGAATTGAAGTAGATTTTGCTTATTGTAGAAATTATTAGGTAATATCCTACCGCTGGGCTGTTGTATCAAATATATTTACCTGGAGGAAATGGTCTTTCTTTGCTTTTTCACCATTAGGAGTGATATTTTTTCTTTTCATTTGTCAAAACGTGAAGTATACCCAAACAAATACAAAATGTACTAGTGACTGCACGGATGGCATAGTGTTTTAAGCGGTCGCCACGCCGCTTACTAATACGCTGAGTGTTGTGGGTTCAAACCCCACACGGGACGACGTGTAATCCACAAATTTTTGTTCTGAGTCTGGGTGTTCTTTTTGTCCGTCTCATGTATGTAAGTCCCCCGCGACCCAGGGATACATTTATAATGCGGGCGTCGTCTTTTAAAAAAAGAAAGAAAAGAAGAAAGTACTTTTTTTTTTAATTGCGCAACTGAGAAACTTCCCCTTTTTTGATTCGATTAAAATCCTTTTATATGTATGTACCCTGTAATATAACATTATTATAAATACGTATTATATTCGGCCTTCACCATACTAATATTGTCCGTGATCTAGTTAAAACGTCATTACTGCGATTGATTGTTACTGTAATAACCGTATTTAACAACGGCCCTGAACTAATGTATCCTTCTTGGCTGTCTGTGCTTGCGGTAATGTATACTTTTGAATATCGTTTGATTTTATATGGCGTAGGGAGCAAAAGGGTATGGGGCCTAGTTAGGTGCGGCGTCGATCTGGGGGGACCTGAAATCACATGGCCCGGGTTCTCCTCAGAGCAGGGACTCAATTCTGCTATTTTATATTCACGCCAAACCACTGTCATACCACTGACACGCTATTGAGATGCCATCGAGTGGCCATTGGCATCGGTATAAATATCGGTAGTTGAAAATATATTACGTTTTTTGAGGAAATGATTTATTTATTTTTATTATAATAAATTATTTTTATTTATGGGGTTAACAGTTACGATGGGAAGACATAACCACAGAACACCCTCTCCCCTCCACCAAACCGTACATGAAAGAAAATAAACGAACAAAAAATATAAGGCCGAATATTCGGCGGTCGCCTTTCCAACTATTCAATTTCAATATTGGCAGGATTATCTCGTATCTAGCAAATTGGCTATCCTGTTTCATTTTTAAATTAACTCTACTATTAATATTCCTCCCCCACCCATCATGTGTTTTCGTCCGTATATCCATCCACCCATCTTTGCCTTTAAATTGACCCTAATACTTTTTTTTTATGTTAAAAGACAAACTGCCGTATTAGGAATACATCCTGTATCGAGGGGGACTTTACAAACATACATGAAACGGACACAAAGAACACCCAGACTCAGAACAACAATTTGTGGATCACACAAAGTGTCGTCCCATGTGGGGTTTGAACCCACAACACTTTAGCGCAGTAGGCAGCGGCGAGGTGACCGCTTAAACCACTACGCCATCCATGCAGTCGAAGTAAAATTACCTCCCCCCGTTTTGGACTGCACCACGCTTGCCACGAAGTATGTAGACTAACATAAGCACACATAAACACACATTATTCATCTCATAATCACCAATAACCTGGTTCACAGTTACATAACCAAGCTTACTTAGTACAAAATGGCTAATCGTAAAATAATCGTTATTAATTTTATTGTTGTACATTCAATTTCCAAAATGTTTTATGTCATATAAAATATTATTTTACTGACGACGAGAAGCGTGTTAAATTATAAATATTGAATGGCGGGTGTTTTTCTTTAGTTTAGTCGATAATAATTCAATTTACGCAAATCATTCTTTGTTTTTATCGAGTAAGTTAAGTTATAAGAGCCCCCCCCCCCCTCCCCCCACCCCTCTCTGACTAAAGGAGAGGAACTCGACCATGGGCGACGATAGTCACTTATCATCAGGTAACCCGTCTGCTCGTTTGCCCCTTTATAACACATAAATAAATCCCTATTTCCCTTGGTCACGGGCGTCACGGCATCACGCGTGAACGGTTGGTTTGAATTGAAAAATTCTTTTAGTATTGAATAGTCCATTTATCGAGGAAGAATATACTTCATACTGCACAAAAAACAACGCGTGTACAAATATTGAGTCCAAGTAATTAAATAATAATTACTCTATGTTAATTTTACACGCTTTATATTGGCTTCACTTGTATGATGTTTGTATGTTTGTAACGGACTCCTTTGGGCGTGATTTTGACTGACTTTAAACGGTCAGAATTCGTTCAAACTTTGTAGATATATCGAGGACCGATGACAATAAACTAATTAAAAAAATAAATAAAAAAAAAAACTAAAAAACATGCTTTTTATAGAAAAACAAACTAAAAAATAGAAAATAAATTTTAATAAATTTGAAAAAAAGCGTTGGGTGCCTGTTGTCAATAGTAAAAAGCACCCCACGTGTTTTTTTAATTTTTTAAAACGATTATTTTTTTATATCATTATTAGCATGCCAAAGGCTATGTATCATCATGCTACGACCAATAGCAGCCAAGTATCGATGAAAAATGTTAAGAAAACGAACTTTTGAGAGAATCAGCAATTAAAAAAATAAATATATAGGCGTGCAGTGCATTTTCCCGAAGCATGTCTCTTCCACGTAAGTACAATGACACCAAGAGAGTGAGATAGATAGATCGGTTATTTTCTTTACACAGTCAATTGGTTGCCGCAATAGATGCTGTCGCAATTTATATATCAATTAGAATTGGCGGCCGATTCATTTAATAGGAGGCTAATGGATAGAAATGTGCTTTATTGAGATTAGCAAGGTTATTTAAGAACAGAACTATTCATCCCATGGGTGTCGTAAGAGCCGACTAAGGGATAAAACTACGCAGAACAACAGCAATGCAGAGAGACGGAAAACTTGACACAAACCCTATACCAAACCGTCTGGCCAGCGTGGTATAGTAGGCCAAAACCTCCTTTCTTAAGAGAGGCTTATGTCCAGCAGTGGACTGTTAAAGGCTGTTAATGATTTAAGTACAGAACCTCAATGTTTTAACTCGAGTCTCTTAACTAATGATGAAAAAATATTCTGAGCATCTTTATGTTAATTCGTGAAGAAAACGAGACAGAGACAATGATACAAATGAAAGATCATAAAAATTGGTTCAGCCGTTCTTGAGTTATAAATGACTAACTTTTGACCGCGGCTCCGCCGGCGTGTATTTTGGTAATCGTGGTAAAAAGTAGCAAATGTCCTTCCCCACAACTCTCTATTTTAATTGTCATGTAAATCGGTTCAGCTGTTTTTGATTTTACGTTAAACTTCCACCCCCCCTTTTCACGCCCTCAAAGGATGATCTATCTATCTGGGATAATAACTATCCTATGTCCTTTCCTAGGGCTCAGACAGGCAGACACACTTTCGCATTTATACTATTAGTATGGATATAATGTTAGTAGGGATATAACTAACGCGGCTTACAAACTTTTAAATTTCAAAATGTCGCATTGCTCTGTACGCAAAATTTGGCATCCGATGGCCGTGTGTGACACGTGTGAAGTCATTATCCATGACGAGGTACTTTAACCTCAGAATAATAGTTAAAAAGCCATGACTGAATTACACAATTACAGTGAGTTATATTTTTAATCTGAAACTATGTAGACAATGTAATGTATTTAAAAATAAAATTCCTTTAACTTATAGAGAAATATGCAGTTAGGTACACACGGCAAACTAAATACCTAGTCAGGGTTACGTGGTACATGTGTGTTGTCCGTGTGTGTAAGTATGTATTCATCAACAGCCTTTAATAGTCCACTGCTGGACATAGGCCTCCCCTAGAAAGGATCTTTTATACGTTCAATATAATTAACTCGTTCCTTCTCTCATATATTGCCAAATTATTATTGTTTTAAAACCATTCTGCGTTACGCATGAGTTTCAATTTCTCTAGCAATAGCTTATTAAAATTACGTTTACTTCGTACTGCTGACCAGCTACTTCGTTTACCGTGTTTAAGAATATTTACGTACTAAATATTTGTTTCAATAATATGTATATTTACAAAAACAATAAACATCAAAATATATTTGCTGTGTACTTGACCTACAGTAATGCAACGCTTAGTTTACATCTCTCAAACGGCCGTCCGATCCCAAACTAGGCAGAGCCAGTACTATGATAACTACTCTGCTGATAATCATACTTATAATAAACTAGCTGAGACCCGCGGTGTTACCCGCGTTTGTTGTTATAACCGCGGGCAACGCCGCGGGGCGAAGCTAGTCTAAAAAAAGTAGCCTAAGTTACTCCTTATGTCATCAGCTATCTGCCAGTGAAAGTCCCGTCGAAATCGGTCCAGCCGTTCCAGAGATCACCCGGAACAAACAGACAGACAGACAGACAAAAATTGTAAAAAATGTTATTTTGGCATATGTACCGTGTAAACATACATATGCATTTAGTAAAAAGCGGTTATTTTAATATTACAAACAGACACTCCAATTTTATTTATTTGTATAGAGTATAGATAAATACGAGTATATTCGTGTTACAGATAAATATCATCCAGACGTAGACCCATAATCGTGCTTATGACAAAATCATGGTATACACGCTTACTGAGAACTACCAGTACTGGTACTACTCGCACTACTGCTGATCATCATACTAGTGGAGTGCTTAGTGTAAGTGAAGTAGTGTGTAGACCTATTGATGGCTAATGATATGGAAGTCTCTCTTCTCCAGAAGGAGAACGCGTGTACTACCACAGGCAATATGTGTGAGAAGTTATTGTCATTCAAAGTAGCTGCTTGCTTCTTCGGAGATGATCTTCGGAATATGTCGAAGAGCAGAGAGCAGAATCCATGAGATTCATCCATGAGAGCAAATGAATTACACATTATCCTTTAGTCAGTCAGTTCACGATGTTAAAGAGTCTTTTGCTTCTGATTATATTGTCATGACCTAATGACGGGTCTGATTATGATCGGCTCCATTCACATCTCTTTGATTTTAGGATTTCATGCTTCTCATAAGTAAGAATTTCGAAAAGCAACAGTAGAATTCAGAAAACATAGACAAAACTAACAATAATCCTATTTATCAATTATTTCATAACTAGCGGATCATATTAGATCTTGGGAAATGCTTTCCCACATATCCAAATCTCTACCTTTTAGAGGGACCATTTAAAAATGACACTGCGATAGTCCCTTTAAATCACGTCCCACTTTTAAATTGGGCCCGCCTTGAGCTAGCCTCAGCTAGTGGTTAGTAGTCAGAGCGCATGCGTCAACTTTTCAATAGGCACGCGCAAACAGAGCCTTGAATTATTTAGTAGGCACTAGACGTGGCCCTTTTTTAGCTTGTTACTTTCTACCGCATATAGTGAAGGATAATGAACCTACGTAATTGCAATCACAATTATCGGGGGTGAATTATTTATGAATTTGACATCAGTTTTTAAATGTTTTGAAATAGGAAAACGAATGTTTCGTTCGAAAATTAGTTACAAGTTAAAAGTTTACACAAAAACCAGTCAGGTACGAGTCGAACTCGTGCGCCGAGGGTTCCGTACCTACCCAGATTTTACGTAGATTTTCGCGAAAATTTGTAAGTACCAAAATTTATCTTAATTTTACTTTTTTTATTTTTTGGAATTATTCCTTTCTTTGTGCTGTAAAACGTTTAATTTTGCATTATGCGTTAAGTTTTGATTCTAGGTCAACGGGAACTACCATATAGGATTTCGACCCAAAACCTATAGGGTACTTCCGGTTAACCTAGAATTGACAATTTTGGTTAAAAGCAAGGTAAAGAGAAAATTCTGAAAAACAAGAAAAGTTGCAAATTAAGGTAAATTTTGATACTTACAAGTTTTCGCGAAAATCGAAATTTGCCCATATCTTTTTATCGCGTTAACTCAGGACCTTGATTTTTATACACCTAATGACCATGGACCTATCTGGTATAAATTTCAACTTGCTAAGTCTACCCGTTCCTGAGAAAATCAGTGGTGACACACGGACAAACGGACAAGAGAGTGATCTTATAAGGGTTCCTTATTTACCTTTTGAGGTACGGAACCCTAAAAATTAGGCAAATAATTTGTTTATATTATCATAGTTATGTGCGATTGGCAGTGTGGTGTCTAAAACTCTTCAAGCCTTCCATAAGTTGCCAAGAATGTGTAGAATTTCATGATAAGCGTCGACTATACTTGCTTAAAAGCTCAACTTTGTAGAAAGATGTTTAGTGTATTTTACTCGTATTGTAAACAAAACAGGAGATCTCATCGTCATTTTGAATTTGTTCCACGTAAACATTGGATGAATAGAGGAAGACAGATAATAAAAGGGGCTGCAGTATACCACATTCTACAATTCTTTCGTTGCACTTGGTATTGGCTGTAGGCTCCGGTTTCTGCATTTAGACTCAAGAATGGTCCTTTATTCGTCGAGAATAGGCTAGGTGAGCCAAATATGCTTCTTCCAGAAGCGCAGAAGCCTCCTGGGGCGCTCACATTCTTCTAGGAGCGATTATGTATCAACAATCAAATGTTTTGTATCGTTGCACTTTCATGGAGCTTGTGAGACTACCAGCACCACCACCCCTGTCCATCCCCCATAATCCTGGGGGAGGGGCACACTCAAAGAGTATTCAACGCACTTGTGTATCTTTAGTGCAGCGATTTACTAACCATCAGGTGACCAGTCTGATCATCACATCATCATCACATCAACAGCCTTTAATATTCCACTGCTGGACATAGGCCTCTCTTTAGAAAGGAGGTTTTGGCCTACTATACCACGCTGGCCAGATGGGTTGGTATAGGGTTTGTATCAAGTTTTCCTTCATTTTGCAGTGCTGTTGTCCTGCGTTGTTTTGCGCCCTTATTCGGCTCTTACGACACCCACGGGATGAATTGGGGTAGTGACATTCCGTATTCTTAATCCGTCACTACACGGACCAGTCTGATCGTTTCTCCACTATTATCAATTTTAAGAACTAATATAACTTAGCATAATGATAACTGTTAACAAATAAGTACAATAAAGGAATGTGTTGCTTTTTAACTTACAAAGGATCGTGTTTCGCATTCAAAAAAATTTATAAACTACTTTTTATTAGTCTTGGTGGATGTAAGATTGTCGACTACACTCTCTAATGAACTGATAACAGTAAACTTTTTAACTAATATTAAATGCCGTTGTTATATAGTCTTCCTCGATGAATGGGCTATCCAAAACTAAAAGAATTTTTCAATACTAACCAGTAGGTTCTGAGATTAGCGCGTTCAACCAACCAAAGAAAGTTTTATGCTTTGTAATATTAGTACAGATTTGGAAAATCTTGTTTTTGCCTGAATAAAATAGTCTATTTTCTAACACATATCTAATATATCAAAATGCTACAGAGATTATTTTTCGTCATGAAACTGCGAGCCTTGAAATTAAAACATTTGAGACTCATTCATCAGTCAGTATGTTTGTTAGTAACATTTTAGAATTCTTTAACAGTAGGTATGTGTTGCTTCCATGTTTTATTCCTTTTTAATGTATTTGTTACATATATTCATTATAGATTTTATCTTTTATGTCTACATTTAAATCTGCCAAAGCTACTACTACTAAAGAACTACGTCGTTCGCGCAATTTCCTTAAAGAAGTAGAAATTGACTGCACGGATGGCGTAGCGTCCAGGCCCCTCTTTCGCACTGGGCACTCTGGGCACGTTCCCAGGGCCCCTCGATTGATAGGGGCTCAATTCCTGCCAGATCACCAATCGAAAATCAATATTTATCACCGAAAAATATAATTATTTCGAAAAATCAATTTGTAATGACTTACTACAGTATTTTTTTTTTTGTCCATTCTAACAAAATAGTGCTCAGCTAAGTTCGTAGGGGCCCCATTATGATAATTTGCCCAGGGCCTCCAACAGGCTAGAGACGGGCCTGGTAGCGCCACCTCGCCGCTTCCTACTGCGCTGAGTGTTGTAGGTTCGATCCCGAAATGGGAGCACACATTGTGTGATCCACAAATTGTTGTTCAAAGTATGGGTGTTCTTTGTATTGGTTTCATGTACACGTCTATAAAGTCCCTAGCGACACAGGAAATATTCCTTCCTTTCCGTCTTTTATAAAAAATAATAATAAAAAACGGAAATTTCACAAAGTAATTATTGTGCTAGTGTGTTCGAAACAGCTACTCATTATTTTAGCACGCAAATAATTATTTGACATGGCAATGTAGTCAATCAGCTGTAACGATTGTACGGTTTATTTTTTAAAGCGGATATATTGTAACTGCGAATGAGTTTGCGAATGTATGTAGGCATATAAATACTGTAGTTCATTGGATTCGCTATCTTTTGGAAACATTAATTTGTCGGGATAAAAAGTAGCTTATTTTCACGATGAACGCATAGAACGATCGGATTGTTATCAGTGGGCTCTTTGAAATGAAGAGGATTGTAAACACATGATCAAGTAGGGTATGGCAATGAAGCGACTTTCATATACAACACAACTAAAACAACAAACCACGACGAAATACAGTTTGACGGTTTTGACGGATTATTTTTGACGGTTTTGACGGGAAAAAAGTTTGACATACAGTGTTGGCACATTGGTTTTGGTTTCACTGTTCGTCAGTAATCCGCTGTGTCTTCAGTGCCATCTAACGGAGACACACTGAACTACGGAGTAACTGCTATTCCTGTATTGCCATATGAAAAGTTCTAACGCCGATTAGTAGATAGATTCTCTGAAAAAGAATACATTTGCCCCGTTTTGCCAACATTTTTCATTGATGCTCAGCTCCTAATAGTAGTAGCGTCATGTTATATAGCCTATAGCCTTCGTCGGTAAAGGGGCTATCCAACACAAAAAATTCGAATTCGAACCAGTAGTTCCTCAGATTGGCGCGTTCAACCAAACACACTCTGCATCTTGTTTGGGGCGCTTGCCGAAAGGCATGATTACCTGACCTGGTCGGTAGATTCTTTATTTTGACATAACATAACAAATAGAGGATTTCAAGAGGCGTGAGTGATATAATTATAAATCATTAGCCTGTCACCCTTTGCTGTGGTATATTGTGATTCCATTGATGAGAAATAAGGAACGAAACTGGCGCGCAAAATAGATAAAAACCATCTTTGAAGCGGGTTGTATTTCGTGTCAAAATTTGAGCTCAATCGGTGCACGGCTTTTCGAGTTTTTGAAGCGTACACAAACCAACTTAACGTTGTTATATTTATATTTTCATACTATATTTATTGTAATTTATGTATTTCATAACACTTGCGATTTCAGCTGCTAAACAGTCAGATGTGACACAGTTAAACACTCACATCCACGGTTAATGTCAAGGCCATATCGGCCATGCCAATTACCATTCATTTTTAAAGCTCTCTACAGGAATTTCCTATCAAATACTTGCTGTACAATCAATCGATATATAAATACCGATCGACGTTTGTGGAGCTATTCAAGGACACATGCCATCAATGAATAATAGTTTTATTACAAATGCAGTAAATGGATAATCAATTATGTAAACATTTAAAGGATACAAAGGTATTTGGTGTGACATGACATAGCTATTACAGTCGTCTGTTGAGTAATAAATGCACATCCAGTAGGCTTAGTTTTTCCTGATGATTACAATTTTGTTATTGGAAATAAGGGTTATTAAGGATACCACGATCAGCATGAGTTTTCCACGATCACAGATGACATTTACAGAAGATATTGCTAATTATATTTAGAAGACTTGAGTAGCGATTATTTTTAGGAACTTTTATTAAAATATACTGTAAAATTATTGTAAACTTTAGAAATAGGAAAGACAGTTCAGCTCTTAAAATGGACGAG